GTGTCCAGAGTTGCCAGGACCTTGGGGGCGATCACAAGGACCTTGGGTCCGCTCTCGAGTCCGTCCTCGGCAAGGTTGGCGAGCAGCAGCAGGTATCGTGGGTATAGTAGTAGTATGTACGTCGTACTCTGTATGAGACGGAGTTGTTGGCGATGTACTCTGTACCGGCTGGGTTCGATGACGGAGGGGAACGGAGGTGGAGGTGGGGAGGGAGGACAGACAGTAGAAGATGGATGTCCCTGGTGTCGAAAATGGAGAGTTAGATAGAGACGTAGAGAGAAGTGGAGGCCGACTGGGAGGGGAGGGGGGAGGGGGGGTTAGCGGAAAAATACGCTAATCAATATCTTAGTGCGCTGTACGGAGTAGACTTCTCGAGAGTCTTTCTGGCAGAGAAGAGAATGAAAGAGCGAGAGTGGACTCTCAGCCTCCCAAGAATAGTATAGCGTATAGACCGCAATGAGATGGAGCCTTTTTTGAAGCGTCTGCCCTCCGGAGAGTGGGTTGGGGGGGTGGACGATGAGATAGTATGTCTCCATCAACCCTGCCAGAGCTGTGTATATGAGAGAGAGAGGGGGGGAGGGAAAGGGAGAGACGGGGCTGTGTGTGTGTGTGCGCGTGCAGCGATTCGTAGCCCGTTTGGAGTCGTCAGTCCCGATCGATTTACCTCTCCCTCTCGTCCTTGGATCTGGATTGGACCTCGCCTTGACGGTACGAGTAAGCTTTCTTCCGCAATAGAGGCGAATCCATCCCGGAAACAGTTCCCTTCTACGTTGACTAGTCGAATCCGTTCAAGGAGATGGGAAAGAGAGAGAGAGGAAGAGAGTGTACTGGAACGAAGGGTCTTCTTCCCCAACCGGCTTGTCAGCAGAAAGTATCACACGAGTACGAGATGTGGCCGTTCCTTCCCAGCGGTGCGTTTCTCAGCCACCCACCCCACCAAAGTCAAAATAAGACCAAAAGGCAGGGAAAAAAAAAAGAAAAGAAAAGAAAAGAAAAAAACGTGACGGCATCAGAAATGCAAGGTTCGCGCAGCATTACGCTAAGCCAACATCACCACCACCTTGTCCAAGATTTTTTTTTAGGGGGGGGTTTTGGTTCGCACCGCATTCAAAACCCGACAACCCATGTATCCTCCCAGTAATACTAATGAATATTATAATCAATACCTGAGAGTTTCTCATCTTCCGGATTTACTTTCTGTAATTTCAAATTGTTTCTCCATCTACGAGTATATCCATACGAATGACATTTCCCCAGCACATGTGGAATCAGTCCAGGTTCCGCAAACCCCCCGAGGCTGTACTCGTACACTGGGTATTGATACTCCGTAATGGCTGAGCAGAAAAACCCAGTTGGATGGCCAAGACTCCCTCGAAGAAGAGGAAAATGTACAGGGCATATAATATAAAATTAATAGAAATAAAAGAAAGAAGAAGAAAAAGAAAAGAAAAAAGAAAAAAAAGAGGGCCATGATTCGAACGTGTGGTCATGGCCAGGATGTGCGCGCGTGCGTGGATACGGTCGATCTCTTCTTTTTTTTTTTTTTTTTTTTGGGAGGGGGGGGGAGGGGGAGGAAGCCCCACCGTCTGTTGATTGACTCGCGCGCACCGCCCACACACACACACAGGCGCGCAGTATACACTCAAGCAGTATATTGTACGCAAACGGCTTTTTGAGGCGCAGGAGTTGAAATCCCATGCGAACGAGGGATCATTCACGGGATATACATGTACGTACGTACGTACGTACGTATGTATGTATATGTGTATGTATGTGTGTATGTATGTATGTATACATATATCTATATATATTTCAAGACGTGGCGTTTAAAGAAAAGGTTGCACTCACTACGGGGTCGATAGAGGAAGGGAGAGGAAGAGAGGGGAGGGGAGGAGGGGGGGGTAGGGGGTTTGTTCTGATTGAAGCTGCTCCTACCCTTTTCCCTTGCTCGCGAGTTCTGTGTGATATTACTGCCGCATACATTCAGCCATACATGTAATAGATGGGTAAAAAAAATAAAAAAAAGTAGAGTAGACGAAAGAGCAGAAGAGGGGCACCGCAAGACCAGGGGACCATAGAGAGCAGGTACCATACGCGTGGGTTAGAGTACGAGTCGTGAGAGGAGAGCTGAACGAGACATCTCTGTGTGTGTATGTGTATGAGTAGTGTACGTACTCGGTACGAGCATGGAAAGGCGTATGCATACCTGTACGATGTATCTGTACACGCTCCTCTCCATATCCGTATCACTCCGCTCTCCGCAGGAGCCAGAAGAAAGAAGAAAAGAGCGAGGCGCGCAGGGAGCGCACAGCTCACAGAGAGGTAGAAGAGAGAGAGAGAGAGAGAGAGAGAGACTGAGGACAGGATAGGACAATATACCCCTGCTTGGTCCCTGTCAAAAACGATAGGTGCAGTAGTAATACTACGGTATATGTAATCTACAATGCATTCGCAAGCTTCATCAATATCATTACACGAGTTGCCGACCTACTCCCATCCTGTCTGCCTGTCTGGTCAGTCAGTCAGTCAGTCAGTCAATCTATCTGTATATCATCTGTCTTGTATCTCTCTCTCTCTCTCTCTCATTCCCTCTCTCCACGTCTTGTCTCTCTCTGTCTCTCGATATATCTAACCATCTTTCCCTCTCCATCATACCCTAGAGACATGACGTGGTCTGAGAAACAGGCTAGGTATGCTGCAGGAAATACTGTAAACGGTAACTGATAGTTACGGCGTCATGACAGGGGTTCCAATTCCCTGCGCTCCTTCCCCTAGTTAAGCTGTGCGAGGAGATAATATTAATTATCGTTACTATAGATATGGGGCCCCTGGTCCGGTCGCTCGGGCTGTTCTGGGTCCAGGCCGGCTGCTGTCTAGTCCTTGTCTTCAGGGTCTAGAGTCTACAGGTAGGGACGAGAGAGAGGGGAGGGAGGGAGAGGGAGGGAGGGAGGGAGAGGGAGGGAGGGAGGGAGGGAGGGAGAGCGTGGGAGAGAGCGTGAGGGAAAAGGCATGCGGTATTACTACCACGATTGCATAACGATAAAATCAATTGTCCTCCCCCCCCCCCCCCCCCCCCCCCMAAAAAAAAAAAAAAAAAAAAAAGAGGAAAGAAATAGTAGAGAAAGAGTGCAGCGTTGACCCCTCCCATGTGGTTTGACCGCCTTGCGCACGCATGTTGTGAGGCATGTCTTGGGTATCTGCAGTACGACTGTAGGAGCATATTGATGCCCTTGCGGAGTACAGCGAAATTTCTACGTACCCCATCCATTATTCGTCACTGGATGGAGAGGGTGCGTGTATGCGTGTGTGTGTGTATGTGTGTGTGTGTGTGGGGGTGGGTGGGTGTGTATGTGGGTGTGTATGTGGATGCAGGTTGGTTTTGTCAAGGGAAGCTGAGAGCGACACACACACACACACACACACACACACACACATAGAGTAAAGAATATACCCACACTCAGAAGAACGGAAAGATAGATGGAGAGCGGATGAGAGAGACGGAAAGTAAGTGAAGAAGGAAAACAGGGATGATTCCATGATGGTCCTGACCGCCCTGCTGACTGCAGCTCGTGCGTTGTGGTGGAATGCAGAAAACAAGGGAAAGGGCGTTGGGGGGGGGGGGGGAGACAAGAGAGAAAAAAATAAAGAGGCAGCCGGATTCTCTCTGTGTGCGCAATGCAAAGTGTTCAGCTGTACGGTACTCGGTTGTGAGTATCCGTATATGTATACCGTCAGAGTACGGGTACAGGATACCGAGTAATGATTACTGCCCATTTACCGGTACGAGCACATTGTGAAGAATCTTTTTGTTTTTACGAAAAACCATTTCCCATACAGCATATACCGATATATACATGTATTCCTTTATCCCCCCCCCCTCCCTTCATCATTTGCATCGAAGAGGAGAAGAGTTATCAAGATGTTGGTATTTCTGACATTACCGACAAATTCCAATCATACCATATGTGGCGTAAACATCATCGCACAGCCACGATTCTCTTTCCTTTCTACCGGTACTCCGTACATATATATACGTAGTACGTGTAGATGCAGCGCTGCAGTGGGGGGCTTTTTAGGAATTGGTATCTCGAGAATTTAGCCGGCTACATACAACTGGTTCCACCATCACCAACGCACCCCCACAATCGGAGCTGTCATGTATCATTTCTTGTATTCTTCTCTTAAACTCTTCTCTCTAAAGCTCTCTCGTTACCCTCTCATTGTATATATGCACGACTCATCAATAAGCTCCGTAATACTCGGGTAAGTGGTATTACGTCACCGCATCATACTCGGCAACAGAGACAAAGAAAAGAAAGTCGCTCGATCTCAAATTGCATGGGATGAAATAAAATAAGAGCTGAAGAAGGAAAAGAGTAAATTACCGCACCTGATGAAAAAGCGGGGTTTACCCGAGATGACGGATCTGACTCTCGGGACTCTCGACGGTTTCATGCACACACGCACACACGCACACACGCACACACACACATACGAGCATACTCCAACAACACAAAAGTAATATATACTCGTGCACATCACCAGCAGCAGCAATACTAGTACATGTGCGTAGTCAGAAGGCTGTATGTACGGAGTAGCGATGCAGCCATACCCCCCCGTCACCTCGGTCTTGCTCCCCCAGAGCCCGACAAGGCGGTTCAGGGAGAGGGGCACAGCACTAGCGTTAGGTGCAGTCTTCCTCGTACGCAGCGTGACAGTTGGGCCGCCCATGTAGCCGCCCTAGCTCGGCCGTCTCTGTCGGTCGGTGCATAGACTAGGCATTCGACAATGGCAATAAATTCTCCGCTGTCCCGAGGGGGAATTGTTCTGGTTGCTTACATACATGTACAGGCGGTAATGTATGCTGCTAGCAACGTCAGCAACACGGATATTATTACTAGTAGCATGCAGTACAGGTATGGTATCTGATACTTGATGTGACCTCTCCTCCCCTGTCCTTGCCAATTGTTCACGTGCATGACAGGGGGGTTTGTGTATGTTTTCGTTTGCGGAGTAGCAGTCGACGATATGGTGGACGATGATACCACTTGTACTTGGATAGAACTCGTTTCCCCCGTTTTTTTTTTTTTTTAAAAAAAAAAAAGGGGGGGGGGGGGTTGGAAAAGAAAATGAGGTGAAAAAATGGAAGCGGGGAGGGGAAAGAGAGAGAGAGAGAGAGAGAAAGAAGAAGAAGAAGAAGAAGAAGAGAAAAAAGACGCATGCGGGGAGGTTTAGGTTGTATGTAGCTTATGTGGCGCCCTCCGCGAGGTCTGCATAAATTGATTCACCTGTGAGTTCACCTCTGTGCAGGAAGGCAGGGCAGGGTAGGCAGGGCAAGGGTAGGTCAAGTTTGGTGATGTCAGGTCCACAAGGCATCTGAGTTTTGAGTTTTGATGGGTAAGCGAAGGAAGGAGGATAGAGTAATCCGTAGAAGATTAGAAAGGAGAGGAAGAAGAAGAAGAAGAAGAAGAATGAAATCAGTATCATTCAAGCCCAAGAGATCGAGATATAAAAAAAAACAAAAAACAAAAACAGACGTGTTTCTTCCTTGGTACTAATAGTTTCATCTCCACCTAGCAGAAAACCGGACAAGGGCAACCCAAATCCTCGGAAGTGCCGGTGGGACACGAGAGAAGATGAAGAACACATACATGATGATAACGGATATTGTCTATTACTAGTGAATCAGTGAGTTTGACTAATGTGCGCGCGTGTGCGTGCGTGCGTGCTGCATGTCCCGACCGACACTACCAAGTATCGATACTTCACCATCAGCCACGGCTACTACTATCAGCTAACACTACTACTAGGTTAGAAGCAAGATGGGCCTACTGCACTGTAAATCATCTCATACCTGCTACCCCTCCCCTTCCCCCTGTGATGGTGCACGGAGTAGAGACCAGTGCAAGCGTGGCAGGCTGGCAGCTGGCACCATCCCCGGGTTTTTTCGCAAGCGCCGGATCCATCTTCACCACGGCTCTCCTTCTCTCCTTCTCCTCCTTTTTTATTTTTATTTTTACTACTGCTTACTACTACTACTGCTACTACTGCTACTACTGCTACTACTGCTACTCCGTAGTGTATTCTCACTGCTACCATTGCTACTGCTACTGTCACTGCCACTGCTAGTTCCCCTTTCCTCCCCTGGTTCCCGAGAAGCGACGGGCTCTCTCTCTCTCTCTCTCTCTCTCTAGGAAAGCGGCCGCTAATGACAGTTTCTTTTCACTTTTATTCATCATCATTTCTTTCTTATTTCTATATATAACCTTTTTCTTGTCAAAATATCGTCTCTCAGCAATACGTGGTGATTCAATATATCACGTGACTTTATCCGTATCGGGTATGCTACATAGGTTATGTAATACCTTGCACATGACAAAGCACAGTATTCCAAGTCCGAAGTCGGCAGTTCTATAATCTTCTCAGGCATCAATCAAGTATTACGACGTGAGTTAAAATACGAACAACTTATATGACTCGAGAGGGGGGCGGGAGAGAGTAATAGATAGAGAAATGGTAAAAAAGCAAGAGAGATGTATATAGAAAAAATAAAGGGAATGATTTATTTTGTTTGACGTAAAAAAGCAAGTGAGATGCGAAAAGCAGAGCAGAGCAAAAGAACCAAGACTCTTCAATAAGAGAAATACTATACTCCCCCCCCCCCCCCCCCCCCCCCCTTTCAACGTCCCGGCCGCTTGGGAAAGGCTAAAATGGTTCTTCCATAGCAGCGGCTCAAAAGGCCGGTTCCCCTTCTTCGTTTCAACACAACCAGGTTAGACGACCCCGGTCGCATCTCGAGGTGCTTGTTTTACTAGTACAAGTACGCGCAGTGACTAGTTTTCGACTAGCAAGAGAAGAAGTGTGAGAGCTTACTACTAGCAGCAGCACCGTACATCTAGTATCATAAGCTATGCATCACATAAGTACATGTACTCTTGGGCTCCTCTCTTGCCGTAATATCGTGTATCTGTATCGTGATGTAATCTGTACCGACAAGACTGTGCAACATGCGCCCCATATCCCCCACGTGTTGATTTGAAACCAATGTCTGGATCTCTGCCGAGTCAGTCAGCGAGGAAGGAATGGCGATGCAACGCGCGCGCGCGCGAGAGAGAGAGAGAGAGAGAGATACAAGGTACGAGTATTCACGGAATGATGGACTCGTCACAGAGTAGAAGAGAAGAAAGGGAAAGAAAAAAAAAGATGACGAGAAAGAAGACGAAGAACAGAAGAGAAGAGACATCAGAGGAAAGAAAAGAAAAGTGCTTGGACTGATGACTGTGCTGTTGCCGTTCAGCCGATTTCGGTTACCGTCCTCCCCCCGCCCAGACGGAGATTCATCAAGCCAATCAGGTATCCACATGGGTGGCCATGATGAAATTCTGCCAAGAAGCGGTCATCAACGCGTCTTTTTTTTTTCTTGTTTCTTGTTTTATTATTATTATTATTATTATTTATTTATTTATTTCCATGATTTGAGAGTGACGCTGCTCTTGTCCGGAGCAACTTCATCTTAATAGGCCGGGGGGGGGGGGGGGGGGGGGGGGGGGGGGGGGGGAGGAAGGGGGGGGGAGATGGTATCCAGTCATGGTGTTTACGGAAAGAGAGGGAGGAAGAGTAAGGAGGAGCCCGGTAATGCCGATAGTATAAGAAAATTAAAATTATATATATATATGTGTGTGTGTGTGTGTGTGTGTTGTATAGAGAATAAAAAAAATATGTTTTAAAAAAAAAAGAGGTATAATACATGGAAAGAGTACGTACTCCACACTCGGAAGAGGGATCAAGAAGCTGATATCAAGAAATGACATACACCGTATTACATTGTCACATGAATACAATACGACGTACGTGGTATGTATGCCGTATTACTACCGTTGCATTGGTGGGTGTATGGGTGTGATGGGGAGGGGGGGGGTGCATGTATGCAAAAAGAGTCCGGACAGGAATTTTCGGAAGGAGCTTTTGACCGATTGCACCTGTGAGTAATAGTAATCATCCAACTTTGAGAATAACGAAAAAGGTGGTCTCTTCTCCTTTTCTTTCTTTTCTTTCTCTTTCTCCCTTTCTTTTCTTTCTTTCTTATATATAGATGTATATGCATGTATGTATATATATATATATATATGAGTGTACGTAGTATATAATCTGTATATATATACAATTTTTTCCTTCATTGCTCTGCCCGTACCCTAACACTGTTAATCTCACGCGCGCATATCCAGGAACGCGTCCTTCTTTTTTTTTTTTTTCCCCGCCAAGAGGTTCAGCGGAGAATAATTTCATGCTAGTCTTGGTAAGGGTAGTATCATGTCTCTATCTCTCACCCTCTCTTTTTCTCTCGTTCAGACTACTATACTAGTTTTATCATGGTCAGTGGCCGGGAAGGACATTGAGGCTCATCCGAGAAAAGGAGGGGGGCAAAGCGCGTCTGTTTCCAGCCATCTGGGCCCTTAGTTTGTGTACGGGGTACAGGAGGAGAGAGAGAGGGGGGGGGTCGGTTGGTTTCAGACATGGTTGGCAGGTTCAGGAAGAGA